TAAGGAGTTGACCAACACGAGATTCAGCCCGAGAGGGTGAGCCCTAGTACAATATCCAATCACCCTCTATCGAATGGTTAGGGTGTGGGTAAGGCATAGGCTAGTTAGTTTAGACGAGTGGGTGTCCGAAAGAAACCCATTTGATATGGCTAATCACAATTAGATGCAAAGATTTCACATATTGCCTGTGTAACTTCATTCGTTCTCATTGTAGCCGCACATTCATGTTTGTTTGATTGAGAGAACTTTTCAAGTCATCGATATTTATCGATACCGAGACTTAAATTTGTACAAGAGCAGCCACTTTCAACACAAAAGGTGGTGAAATTTTCAAATATAAAAATCTTTCGGATGGTTAAAAATAATTATGAAATTAGGACCCAAAAAGAGAGCCATAATCTCAAACATATGCAAAACCAATTTTACAACCATAGCTTAAAGAGACAACCCAAACATATATCAAAACACATAAATATCCAGCACGACAAAACAAGATTGGGTCTCACCCCACCAAATACAAGTGTTTGTCCTCAAATGCGAGTATTAGTATAAAAAATAAAATAAAATCAAAAAAGAAGGAAGGTGAAAAGAAATCATGTCTATGTGGCCTCTCCTCCTATCGGGGCATCCAAACTCTAAGAGACAACCTGTAGTTCGGTATCAGTGCACGCAATTCTCACCTCAGTGGTGGTCTTATCAATCCCAATAATAGTTGTTGCGGATGATTAGCATGTGATGTCTGAATCACAAGTTGTACCATTGTACCTCCGAGGTAAGATAGGTTCCCAAATATGTGATGCTCTTCTTTTGATGCTATAAACTCCTCCCGTGCTATTTTCATTTCTTCATCAGTCTCAATATCTGTATCTACAGTTTCTTTCTCTTTTGGTCTCATCAAGTCATTGAAGTCAACTTACTTTAGAGAATCTACATATGTCCACAGATTTACAACCTCGACTTGTAAAGCTGAGATTTCAGATGGCCTATTATGTCTAGTTTTGCATGTTGTAACTGTCAGGGTTAAGGCGAGTACTGAGGCTTGAACTGGAGTAATTCCAGCAGCTATCTCTCTCTCGACCATTTCTGGGACTGACTTCTCCATCTTAGATGCCCTTATCTTAGCTGATTTGGCTAAACGCCCCATTTTCAAGATCATTCGTTGAGTGATTCAGATTTGCTCGCTGGGTGTGGAAGACCCTGGATCTTGTGAAGAGGAAGAAGGAGCAGAGGTAACCCAACAAAGGGTTAGGATAATTTTCGCAAGGAGTGGTTTTGAAAATTAATCGAAAAATAAAATTTAGTTCTAATTAGTCATAGTAATAATCATCATTGAAACTAAACATGCTAGTCTAAAGGGGTGAAGCAAGCGTCAATTATCAATGGGGGTGTTTGGAATCGAAATTTATAGCTAAAAACAGTAAAAAAAAAACACGAGATACTACTAGGAGACGGGATTTTTGGAATGTGATAGGAATACGGGACATACTAAATTATTGGGTACATGCTTTTGATGATGAATTTGTTGAAACATTTGTGACTAGGCTAGACTATAACGGAGGTAAATTCTCTCTCGGGCAACTTACCCCGAATAAAATGGGTTTCTCTCTAACACTCATTTTCCACATTAAACATAGCCTCCGCCTTGGCCTATTCACTCTCTCGAGCAGTGTGTGTGGAAAATGACTAGGGTTCTCTCTCTCGAGCTGAATCTCATGCCGACATGATACCACCTACTGTCAATTTAGTAGTCCTATTTTTACGACCTCTCTCTCGAGCAGACTAAAAACACGATGGTGAAATTGTATTTGAAACTACAACCCCATTAATTTTAGGCATAACTACTAAACGAAATCACATTTAAAAAACAAATAAACCATCAACAAGCAAGACCCAACAGATAATCTAACCATATTCACAAAATCACACCCAAAGAATTGGGGTTTTATCTTGACATGTAAAAGAGATGGAAATTTATACCAAAATGAGTTTGCATTCAAATGGGGAAAGAATATTTAAGTCTTGTTACAAACCAAAAGTGAAGAATCTAAGAGACCCAAGCCCAAATTCTTAGAGATGAAACCCTTTGAATCTTCAAGTTCTTCAAAACCCTCTTCAAATATAGAATTCAAAAATAAAAGCAAAGTTTGAAAATAACTGTTCAATACTATGAAAAACTATATTAAGCTAAAAATAATAATAGGTATTTATAGTTTACAAAAGTTGTGTTGCGAAGGACCATTCGGTGCAGTTAGTTGGGATCGCCGATCAACTTAGTGATCCGCCCTTTGATAGCTTCATCGTCATCTTGTGCTAGCCTACAACATCTTCGTGTTTGGATCATTGGGCAACAAAGTACTGCTTTGCGGAACTACTCGGCGACATATCGGTTGCTTCTTTTGCTCCACTGATTTGCTCCTTTCCTTCAGGTTTCAGCTCACTGGAACAAAAGGCAAGGATGGGACCTTTTGGCGACACACCGAATGGGTTCGACGATCCTCAGGTCTTCACTTCTTCATTTTGTCAACTGCCTTCATTCCTTTTAGCTCGATTGTGTCCATGTTTTGTCTCCAAGTTTATATACCTAAAACTTAAGGTATTTTATCAGTTTTTGAGACAAACTATGCACTTAAAAGACACTAAACCTATCAAAATAGAGTCCTAAATGAGTTTAAATTGGGGACTCATCATGATCACTATTATCTACCTTCTTATGTGTTTACTTTACCCACAGCATTCTATATAAATTGGCGGTGCCGAAATGGGACTTTTTTGCGTTCAGGTGGAAGTTGATCTTAGTTAGTTCTTAAGTATATTTAATTGCTTATACATAGTCGGTCTAACGTACTGATTACTTTGGTTTGTACTCACCTTTTACTTCTATTGTCCCTTTGATGTAGATCCTAGTCAGGGTGAGCCTCGTACTGGTTGATTGGATTCCAGCGGGGTTTCTTCTTTCGAAGTTGTGGTGAGGCCCTGTTTCCGGATCATTGTTAGTCTCCCTCTTTTTTTTGAAGTCTTTAACGTACTTTTCAAAGGCTTGAGATGTATTTCATATTTGATATGTATTTAGATGTTCTTTGTACTTATGCTACTAGGTTTAGGGACATCCTTTGTTACTTTTTATCATTTATAGTCTTACTTCCCTTTAGAAGTCTAGTATGCGTATTTCTTTAGGCTACACTCCTTTCTTTGGGGTTCTAGGGGTGTGTGTCTTCATGGACTCAACTTTTAGATCGTGACGATTCACACCTCAGCGACATGTGTATACAGATAATATTGCAAAAGGTGAGACTGACAAGTCCATTTGCACAGATTTTGTTGTTGAGATAAGCCTTAGCATTTTCATGGAGGTTGTCATTCCTACACTATCTATTTTATAACATATTTATTCCTTTTTAAAATTTACTAATCTGACAGCTAAACTCATGTAAATCTAATCAATACTCCACAATATTATTATAAAATTTAGACGAGAAAATTAATATTTGAGTGATCATTGAACTAATAGAATGATCATGGATTCTCATTGGAGTATTCCTCTCAAGTTATTCATTGTTATTTAATTCCTTTAGAGTACACATAATTGCATTGTGCTTATATAACTGGGTTAGGGAATAGATAATTGGTTCCCCCGACAGGTGATATTAGTGGTGTCAATCACATCTAGGGGTATCATGGTTTGTCAAAAAATCCACCCCTTCTTTACATGTAATTCAATCATATGATTGAAGTACAACCATACGTGACAAAAGAACACAAAAGATATAATCAATTTTATATGCATCTCAATCAAAAGGGAAAGACATAAATTCCCCTTGAACTTGTTCAGAAAAGTCATTTATCCACTTAAAGTATGATGATGAACTATTACACAATGAATCTTGTTTAAAGTAAAATTATCATCCTCTTTCAAAGACAATGTCAGTTTGTGTGAAAATGTGTTATACACACGTTTTAAAACGTAAATAACTTTAATATTTTTTAAACCATTTTTGTTAATATTTTCTTAAACTTTTGCAGAAAGTAGAAACCTTGGCTTTCTTCCTCCTCTCACCTTACATTTCTTTCTTTTTAAGATTCACTTCTTCTTTCTTCTTCATTATTCAAAAATTAAAGGGAAAACAAGAAATTTGAAGAGAGAACATGAAACGATAAGAAAATTATGAAGTATAGCAATGTTGGCATCGACGATAGGCGGTGGGCAACACCATTGTTGCCGGTGGGACAAATAAAATCTTTCAGATTTGTAGAAGTTATTTTGAAATCTTGATAAGTATGAATGAAAAATCATCATTTCATTAGTATTCTATGTGTAAAATCAAATATGCTATTGATCGCTTGAGACAAAAATAACATTATGATGGTTATAGTTAGTGCCCTGACAAGAACAAAGAAGACAAAGGTAGAAAATTATTCTTCGACAGATTTTTGAAAAAATGTAGGCAATGTAATCAGGAATTTTATGCATAAATGTCATAGGATTTTCAATAGAAGTCATTGTCTTTCTCATATATTTTTCCCAGCCCAGTGAATCCTTCGATAAGTTCAAATAAAAATCATGAATTTAAGTTAAAATTATTAACTTTTCGATGAAAATCAACATCCTACCTACTATTTTTTACTGTTTTTAAGAGTTCCTTCTTAAGATGGAGTGATGGAAATTTGAAGAAACCATTAATGACAGATTTTGTGAAGAACTTCAAAGAATAATAATTTAAAAATGTAAAAGCTTTAAAGAAATTGAATCACCAATAAAAAGAACAAAAATGACATAATTGGCATATTAGAAATTATAGTACTTAATTATATAATGACCAATAAAATATCATCACGTGTTTAATTGTCATTTAACATAAGTTTTCTTCTTCTTACTTATGAAAGGTGAGGACACTTTCTAGTCATGTCAGCTTCTAAAGGGTATTAATATCACTTTGAATAAGATTAAATGTGTAATAGATCATCACAATAATTTAAGCATATAACTGACTTTTCGAAACAAGTTCAGAAGGAAATTCATGTCTTTCCTCCAATAAAAATGACCGAACTTTTATATTTGCAAGTATACAAACATATCATGTAAAAACATCTTCAGCCAAGACCATACGTTCAAACACAAATGTCTGAAGTTATCAAACTTTACCAGACATTTTTCCCGAAAAAGGTAAACTAGCAAAAAGTTATGAAGCCAGTATCAGCTAAACGGCAACACTAAAAGTGGATATTTGTGCACTTCTCCCAAGAAATTTGTCTCGCACTGACAATGAATGGGCCAAATAGTTGAGGTAAAACAGTAAAATCACATCTTTCAACTAATAAAGATAAAAAAGAAAAATAGTCAAGATGGTGATCATGTATAGTCAATTTGTACGGTCAAGTCCTGTATTCCTAATTCATGGTATAGGTCATGCACATATTGCAAAACAGGCCAATCGTCAACTCCCTCCTTTACCTGTTCAACAATTTAACCATAATAGAGTGAGCTTTGGGAAGGCATAAAGTAGACAAGCAAGCACATCTTTCAAATTAGCATAAAACAAGTAATTTGTTCAGTATAATGGGAGTGTATGCAGGTTGGGATGTGGCACACAATAAAGTTAAGTGATCACCTGCAATGCAATTGATCCAATAACATGACCAGGCACAAGTTCCCAGAAACGAGCTTGAGATACTTCTGAAACGTCTTCACGAGATGAAACCTGAGCACATGAGAAACTAAAATATCAATGAGAAATGATGCATAATGTGAAGAAGATAATGGTGTATCATTGTGTCCTCAGCCACGACCCTAAAGCCATTACACCATTGTTTTCTTTTTGAAAAAAAATAATGTTAACAATTCATTAAAGTATCAGCACAAGAAAAACAAAAGCCTGTCAAGAAGAGTTATAAAAATCACCCTAATCAACAAAACCTTGCAGGAATTCTATGATTTGGAGTATGGATTCACTATCATTTACAGGATATCCAATCATATATATATATATATATATATATATAAAAGAGAACCCTTGGCCCGCCTACGTGGCGCCACCACAAACAAGGATTCCCCTTTAAATTTATCTATTACCAAAAGTAGTCTTCTCCTTTCACGAAAAGTTGTGACTTTTATGAAAAGTTGCGACCTTCAGGAAGAGTTGGGACTTTTATGAAAAGTTGCGACTTTTATGAAAAATTGTGACTTCTATGTAAGGTCGCGACCTTTCCCAAGAGTTGTTAACTTTTCCAACGAGTTGTGACTTGCACTTTGTGTAGTATAAATTGAGGGATTTTCTGTCACTATTTTTTGTAGGTTTTTTTCATTGTAAGGTAGTCGAATTTAAATATATTACTTATGCTTCTTACGAAGTTTGTTTCATTCCTTAAATTTTTCTTCCTACTACTTCATGGAGATTAGTCTTTACTACAAGTCATAGTTATTCATGTAACCGTGACAATTTCTTTTTACCATTTTTGTGACCTTTTTTAAACTCTGTTAAAAATTTCAGCAAGGATAATTGAAAATCGATCATCTCTTTCTTCCTTTCCTACAGATTTCTTCATATAAACAAAAAAAAGGGTTCTAATCGCAATGTCACATTTCTACTCTAGCACCTCTCAATCCACAACTCATAAAGTTGCTGAAATGGTTCAATTCATTATATTTGGTTCTTTAATAACAACTTTTATTTCTACCACTATTATTTGTAGGTTTTTTTGGCTATAGGTGAGTCGAATTTAAATACATTAATTAAGCTTCTTATGAAGTATGTTTCATTCCAAAAAATTTTATTCCTCCTATTTAATGAAGCTTAATTTTTTACTGTAAGTCATAGAAATTCATGTATCTATTGCAATTTCTTTTTTTTTAATTTGGTGACTGTTTTTTGAACTCTGTTAAAAATACCAATGAGAATGATTGAAAATTTATCTTCTATTTTGTCTCTTTCTATAGTTTTATTCGTATACTTTTTTGAAAAATTTGTAGTGGATTGTGTTATATTTGATAGCACAAAACAATAAATATATGATAACTATTACGCAACCAAAGTTGAAGTTTGTTAAAAGAACCAAACAAATTGTTCTCTTCTTTGCCACATTTAGTAAATTATTTTGATTTCTCATTCTTAGGTGTAAACATTTTATATGCCATTGCACCCTTCCTAGAATATTAGTATAGAGATAATTAGTTCACTTCTTTTATTGCAAGTTAACTAATTTGTCGTATTCCTTTGTCTCTTCTTTTTAGGCATAATAAGAGATCAAGTTTTCTTGAAACTAACAAATGTCTAAAATACACTATAACAAAAATATTTTTTATCGGCAATGAATATGCACAGTAACGAAGAGTACTAGAGTCTTTACCTACATAATTAATTGTTATTAGATTCAATGTTGTTATGGACTTTTTCTAAGGGACATTTGTAATTGTCGCTAAAGATCATTTTTGTCGTAGTGACAACTCTTTCTTTTGATAAAGTTTTTTTTTTTGTTTTTTTTAATAAAGAAGTAATAACTCTTTCTTTTGGCTTCTTTCAATTAAATTTTTGAACGGTAAACTTGGATACATACAGACAGATATACTAATTGTTCACTTGTCATCTGAACCCCTGAACTCATCAAAACACAATATTTTAAACACTATTTTTGACTTGGCATCCTATGTGGCAGTTAAATACCAAAGAGCATGTAACACACACCTAGTGGGAGCGTGAGGTCCTTGGAAAAGGGTCTAACAGTCACAATATGGGATTTATGAAGCCATTATCTTCCTATTTGCATCTAACACCATTGTTGCACAAAATTTAAGGTTTTCTTGACCTCTTTTTCGATCTTTTTCCCCCAAATTTCTTCTCTACTGTTTCGTGTTATTATACAACTCTCTTTCTTATGAAACACGCCATGGAAGGCATAACACTACTACCAAAATATCTTCCACTAACATTAGGCACAAAAATGCAAAATCCCCCAAAAAAATTCAACAAAATCAATGAAATCGATTAAAACCCAAAACCAAACAAAGACACAAATAGAGATCAAATCCAAACTAAACAACAAATAAATTTGAAAATAAATTGAAAAAACTACCTAGATATATTGAAAATCAAACAAAAAAAACTCAAATAATTTTTGACATTGACCCCGTGTTTCCATTCTAAACCAAACCCAAACTTATTGCCTTCTTTTCATCGTCCTCACCTTCTCCGACCAAAGTGTCTTCGTTCTCACCATCTCTGACAAGCTTCAACCAACAACTATAAATGAGAACCAACCAAAACAACAACAAAAACCCAAAACCAACTCCGCCAGTTGTGAAAATTAGAAGCAATTAGACCACCCAATAGACACCCACTTTTTCTTAGCGCCACCGATCACCACCAAAATCTCAATCCAACATAACCCAAAATTAACTCTAAATCACCAACGAAATTGTGAATAATCAAAAATCGTGTCAATATTTTTTACTTCGATCAAAAGAGTAGAGATTGGAAAAAGGAAAAAGGTAAGTGAATAGAAAATTCCTTTTGTCACTTTCACCCAACCTAGCTACATATTCTCCTTGCGGCACTAGAAGTAGCATGTCACCGTGTGTTAGGCCTGATATTATGTATTCTATGTAGCTTGATATTTCCCAGTTGGTTATGAAGATAAGAAAAAGTGAGATTGTAGGGATAGAGACAGCGATGACAAAGAGAAACAAAAATTGGAAAGAGAAAGTGTAGATATATTAATCAAATATAATAAAAGAAAAAATGACATAGAGTGACCATATATACACGTGTCATTTTATAATCATACATGTCATTTTTTAATTATTTTTAAAATTATGTGTCAGGCGTTTGTGATACACACAGTTGAGTAGTCAAAGACGTGTTAAAAATACTGTGTTTTACTGAGTTCAGGGGTTCAAATAACAAAAGAGCAAGTATATAGCAGTTTAAGATTTTGGATTTCTTTAAGATAAAATGATCTTGACAATGTAGTGTATATATCGAAAATCCAAATATTACCGAATGATCAATGCAAGCTTATGAACATAGTTCAATCTCGTGCGGAGCACGGGAAATTTTCCTAGTACTCTATTAAAAGAAAAAGACAAACTAATATACACTTCAATTTTATTCTCTATGTGGAGTTCTTTGTATTCTCAAAACACCAGTGTATAGGCTCTTTTCCACCTTAGTTGGTAGAGGAAATAGGGAGATCACTTAAGTTGGAAGAGAATCCAACACTTTGTTTAGTAAGACCACTCTGCCTCCAAGCGAAATGTATTGTCTTTCATTTAGTCAGTCTCTCAACACGTCATTCAGTCACCCCATCACATATCTCCAAAGCTAGGCCAAGATACTTAGTTGGCAGACTGCCAATTTCACACGCCAAAGTACCTGCCAACCTATACAATTGAGGCATCACAGTGACAAAAAAGAGTTGACTTTTCCTCTGATGGACAAGAAGACGTGACACTGCTTCAAAAACAGTGAGATCAGTCTGATGTCTCAGTTACTCAACTTCAGCGTCACAAAAGATAAGACAGTCATGCATATAGCAAATGAGAAACATCCATCCCACATCCAGCTCTGTTGGATGTCATAAAACTCCTAATCTGTCCATTTGCCTTAGGCCTCTTCATCTTGTCATGGAGTCTTTGAGTTTGAGCCCCACGAGCATCGTTAATTATTTTTTGTAATAATACGCACAAAGGCTTAGGTTAGTCGAGCTGGTTGGTCTTAAGGCTTATTTTGCTACTTCCATTGTTAGGATTAAAAAAAAGCGAGGGCATATCCAAGCCTTAGTCCCCTCCTTGAAAGAAAGAATCCTTCAGGTGAGTAATTTATCAACACTGAAAACCTTACGAAAATGATGCAGAACATTACCCATTTCAGCCACTTACTCTCAATCCGCATCACACCATTGTTAAAGCCAGTAATCCAGCTAACTCCATCTCACACCAAAACTCATAATGTTTGTCTTTTTTTTATTTTACAAGAGAGCTAACACATCGAATAAGATTTATTCGCAAGACAATACTGCCTGACAATGTCAAAAGTTCCCTTGCATTCCAAGGCATAATAGCCACCACACCAAAAACTTACAAGCCATACTCCCGTCTCAAACATTGTTAGCTAATAACATTGGGGGTGTCAAAAATGAACCAAAGCATATATAACCTGCCCAACCCGCCCAGAATAAGGGTTGGGCTCAAGATAATTTTAATTGGATTCAATCTCAACTCATTCAGGCCTAACCTTTAAGAGAATCCTCAAGCAAATTTGGAGGATCAAAGTGCCACACAAAGTGGCGTGCTTTAAATGGCTACTAGCCAATGAAGCAGTTTTGACATTGAATAATGTAGCCAAGAGAGGGATCTCTCTTTGCAACAGATGTTCCTTATGTGGTAAGGCTAATGAGACAGTGAGACATCTCTTCTTACATTGCAACTTTATTGAGCAATCTCAGAGGCATATCTTGGTGTATGCCTAGCAAGATTGATGAGACTCTATTCAGTTGGGAGATGGATGGAGTTGGGGCTACAAACAGAGAAAGATGGAGGATGATCCCTGCTAGTATTTGGTGGAATATATGGAGGGAGAGAAACAAGAGATGTTTTGAGAATAGGAAAAACCTACAGGAAGTAAAGCTTAAGTGTAATTTGTTGTTCTGCTTTTGGTGTGCAAATGTCTACTCCAATGAAACTGAGTCAATCATAGATGTTTTAGGATCCATTTAGATTTGGTTAAGTTTTTGGATAGATTATACTTCCTTTCTGCATTTGTGAATGTGGTTTTTCAGTACTACCTAAGTACTAATTGAAATACAAACGTCACCACTTTCAAAAAAAATTCTCAATTGAGCCCAATTCAATCTCCAATTTCCACCCATTTTAAAACTTTTTACTAAGATATGTTCCTATAATAAAGGTATGAAGTATTATCTATTTAACATCTTTTAAGATTTATCTATCCATTTGTTACTTTTCTTAGAAAAAGATCTTGAGCTAAAATTCGAATTGTGATTATAAAAGTTAAATATCACTATGTTAAAATTGAGATTAATCGGATCAAATTGGGCGTGGGAAGACCCAACCCGTTTTTTTAGCCCATTTGAACCCAACCCATTTGAGCCCAAAGTAAACTTGGGCGGGTCAAAGACCCAACCCGATTTTATTTCAATCCATTTTAATATCTTCAATTTCAACCCAACCCGCCCATTTGACACCCCTAAATATCACAAAGAAGTACACATCGCGGGTGGGGGGGAAGAATGGGGGGCTACACAGCATGTTGCCCATCTTCACCAGTGTTGCCAAAGCCTCAATTGCACCACAATTGAGCCCTTTAGAGCATAGCATGCACACTTACAAGCCAGCTTTATCTTGAAAAGAGCAATGTTAACCAATAAATAAGGTAACTAGTTAATTTTTAAATCCTTTTGTCCACATTTTATTTGGGCTTGTGGTAGCTCCTTTTAGTACATATATATTTTCTTTATTTGCATCTTACTCCGTTGAAACCTGCACTTGATTTGTGTTTTTCACTTGAACTCCAACATACTTTAGTGTTTTCCCTTTTCTGCTTTGAGAACACTGAACTTCACAACCAACACTATAACCAGTCACCTCAAACATGAGATGATTACCTGCCTGATTCTATACAATCAACAACCCCAACCATAACATGAGGAGCTTACAGGGTTTGGCAAAATTTTCATATTCAATTGAAATGGTTTGTGCATCAAACACAAAATTAATAATTTTCAAAAATAATATTTTAAGAAAAAATCGATAATGATACCACATAAATTACCTGCCTCCAGCATTTGCTCCAGGCTGAAGATGGGATCCTTGGTGGAGCCATTTGGAGCAAGATGCCACCAGTAGTTCTAAAAAGTGGCATGACGAGGAAAAAGACAGTGGCAGAAACCAGTCCCAAACATAAGACTTCGGCATTCTTTACTCTGAAAGAAAAAAAAAACAAGAAGCCAGCCAGTAAACAAGTTTGCTTCTTTATTGAGGCCACGCCATGAATTTTCATAAAGCAAAGAATTTTTTTACCCAAGTGTTAACAACCAGGAAGCCAGGATGAGGCCTGCACTGATAAATAAAAAGGAAGAACTGTGTAAGATCTAAGAATCCGGGAGAAACAGTTAAATAGTGAGAAGCAAAACAGGTGATAAGATAGCATCTGAATCAAGGACCCAGTTCATCTAACGAGCTAAACGAAGGTAATCACTTACCTGCGAATGGAATCAGCTAGCACATGCAAGCAGACAGAGTGATAATTCATATCTTCAGCTTTCCGATAGACTGCTGACAAAATAGCATATCAGGAATCTTCAACAAACCCCAACAAAAGTAAAGACAGTTTAAGTAGCTCAACTAGCAAAGGCTTCTTAAATCATAATATATAAAATTGAATCAAGCAATATCAGCAGACACATTGTGGAACATGAAAGGGTTCAATCCCAGTTTGTATTGAACCATTGCAGAGCTACCCACTACCTGTGTCAGTGAGAGGTAGCAGGTATCCCCGTATATTACTCAAATTGCATGCAAATACGTAACAGCACCGTTGTAAAAAAAAAAACATGGGCAGATTGAAACGAGTGAATCTTGAAATTTCTCCCAATATGCTTGCTCAACGGATTATCACATTATTGTTAATCATACACTACTACTATATTTTTGGAATTTTATAATTATGACATTTCAGATAATAATGAAGTGTAAAACTGTTAAAAAAAAAACTCAACCATAAGTTAAAATCAAATTAAAAAAATAGATGTTAGACGCCCATTTTCTTCCTCCTACAACCTAAAATAGGTAATGAAGTCTTCAACAATGATTTCTTCTATCTCTCCTGAATATTGCGTCAAGGACTAACCTAAATCTAGTAATGGGCCATTAACTACATCAGGCAGTAAGGACTGAGGAATTTTCCACTATTCACCTTTTTTTTTATATATTTTTATCAGTAAAAGATTTTTAATCCTTTATCCTAAGCTTGCCTGGTGAAGCTTCTGGATATTTGTACAAGGAAAAGGGGGAACCCCCATCCTAATCACAAAATAGGTTACCAGGAAGCTTAAGCTATCGGTGACAGAAGTATCACTCTGTTTATGCGGACCGTGTGAATCAAATATTGTATTGATGATTCACACGGTTTTCTACTATATGTAGTTCAATTTCATTGTTTTTACTTAATTCGTAAGTTAAAAGAGAAGAAAAAAAGTCTTCTTTTTTCATTGTCCAAGAATGTTTTTAATGTATTGAACAATAATTTGTTGAATTGAGAAAAGGAGTATTTGGTTTCCTGTAGTCATTCATTCTGGTGTTGGTTTTCTTTTATGGCAAGTACAGTTTTATATGATTTAGACATCTCGAGTCAAAAAGGATTTGAAACTTGACTTTCAAGTTGTACTCCATTTAACCATGCCTTGCCTTTCCTCATAGAATACCATCATCTGCACGGACTCTTCACTTTTGATGCCGCACTCGTGTTGGATTCTCCAAAAATACACTACATTTGGAGAATCCGCCATGCACGCGTTGACATTTTGAAGAGTCCGAGCAACATAGAGCATCATTAAAAGTGCTCCCTGGGTCTTTATTAATAGAGATTTCATTAGGTACTTCAAGAAGAGCCCTAGATAACAAATGTAATCCCAAAAGGTGGGTCCCTACCTTGTGAAGTTAGAGAGATTGTTTACGATAGACGCACTGCTCAAGTGAAGCATAATAAAATCAAGTAGGTAAAGGAAGATACAGTAGTGAAGCCATCATGCTGAACATAATGGAGCAGAGAACAATAGCAACAACACATAATACAAATAATCGAAGCAGAGGAAACAACAATTAATAATAAAATCGAGGGACAAGATAGTATAAGAGTAATAATAACATATATTTCTAAGAGAAACTAGAAAAAATTCAATTACCTACAAATCTTCTGTCCTAATCCTTGACATCCATATACTCTTAGCTATGGTCATGACCTGACAAGCAGCAATTCCTTTCTATTTACATCTCCCCAATATTTCTTAGCAAGGGTCATGATCTTGACAAGCAGTGTGTCAGATCGTCTAATTACATCTTCCCAATATACCTCTACCTCTCATCATAGCCTTCATAGCCAACCTCTCGCACCTCCTCACTAAGACATTAGTGCATTTCCTTCACACGCCTCTCCTCTTCACACGCCTAAACCATCTTAGTCTCACCTCCCAATCTTGTCCACCACAGGGGACCACTCCTACTTTGTCCCAAAAATCTTTGTTCCTAATCCAATCTCTCCAAGTATACCCACACATCCATCTCAATATACTCATTTCTACTTCTTCCATCTTCTTGACGTGTGAGTTCTTTATAGGTCAACATTCACCCCATACAACATAGTGGGTCTAATAACCAACTTTATAAAACTTACCTTTAAGATAAGGTAACACACTCTTATCACAAAAGGCATGGATGTGACCCTCCATTTCAACCACTTTGCTCCAATACAGTATGTAACATCATCGTTGATCTCCCTATTTTCTTGGATTATAGACCCAAAATACTTGAACTTCCTCTCTAGGAGATTACTTGTGTATGAATCCTCACTTCCACATCTTCTAGTGAGCTATGCCACTGAACATGTACTCTATTTTGTACCTGCTCAACCTGAACCCTTTAGAATCCATGGTCTGTCAAAAAACCTCCAGCCGATTGTTAGCTCTGCTGTGAGTTCCATTAATCAATACTATGTCATCTGCAAATGGCATACACTATGGCACCTTCCCCTGGATATGGCGCATTAATTCATCCATCACCAAAGCAAATAGAAACGGGCTAAGAATTGATCCTGGTGCAACCACATCAGGAGTGGGAAGTGCTTTGGGTGTCCGCACTGTCCACACTCCAGTCTTGGCTCCATCATGCATGTCCTAAATCGTCCAAATGTAAATTTTAGGTATACCAGCCTCCAAAGATCTCAATAGAACCCCTCGGGGACTGTCATATGCTTTTCGAGGTTAATAAATACCATATGCAAGTCTCTCTTCCTCTCCCTATACTGTTGAGAGTATTTTAGAATTTTGGCATCCTTGATCTTATCTTTCCAATCAACTTATATACTTTTTGCTATATAGATAAGATCTTAAATTGAGACAAGTGCTACCTTTATCCTTTAGGCATCTTTGAAGCTTGGTCAAAGGATCTTGTATTGTGGCCAGAGTGAAGCAAACAAATGTTCATACCTTATCTGCTCCTTGCAATGAGTAACAACCATGCTCGACTTCCAAAAGTAAATGAAAACTTGTGTTACATGAGCTCTTGTTTGATAGGAGTATTTGTGTCCAATAGGTGTATTAAATGGGCATGGAAAGACACTAAAAGTTGAAGGTACCATACAGAACTTATCCCAGACACATTGTAGCATGGAGGGTAGGAAATGGTTAAAGGAGCAGCATGACTAGTGTCAAAACTCAAAACTAGGTCATGTCACTAACTGAACCTACTAAGCAAATAAAGATGACATTCATAATCCAATCACAACAGCCAAAGCACAGCAGCAACAGGATGGCCACTTCAATAAATAGAATGATGGTGTTAACACGTCGACTTTGCTCTCCCTCTCTCTCACACACACACACATTAAGGAGGAGAGACCAAAAGAATTGATTTTGACTGTAATGAAGATGCTTACCAAGATTAATACGTGCATAATTCCGGAAGAACCAAACACCGATGAGATTCACCAGCAAGTTAGTGACAGCTGAGACGATCAAGTAATGCCTACATGCAGACTTCATTCAGGCACGGTACAATAAAATTAACAGTGATAATGTATAGAAACCTTCAAAAAGCAGCAAAAAGTCTGCCATAAAATGCAGAGTGATACAAGAACTTAATTTGCTGAGCTATCATTTGGCTCTTTGAACTTATAAACCAAAGATCAACATTGAGATTATGCATGTCATTCATATTCACTAAGAAAGAGACTTAGTTCAAGAGTGACTGTAGATTTTTTCATATCCAGAAAATATCTTATTTTTTAAGGCTCATTCAAAAAAAAAACCCGAGTACAGAAATATAAGCTAACAAACAAGAAGGGTGACCATCTCAATATAGCTTGCTTTTTCTAAGTTTTGAAGGATTCAGACAGACGCAAGCCCTATGAATCAAGTAAAAAGCCTATCCCTTAAAGAGTATAGAACAGTAATTGATCAAACTTAAACCACCATCCTCAATCAAACAACAATAGAACCTAATTATTTGACAAGTGTGATGATTTTGCATCAAAGGACACCTACTTATTTTCATTAAATAAGCTGATAATATTGGCACAAAGGTCATGATCTCACAAAAGATGGTAATCAACTAAATCTCAGGCAACTCTAATTTTTTTTTGATGAGGACAACTACTAAAAAATTTTCCTAACACTTTTGGGACACTTACTTGTGCTCGGATTCATCTTGTATAAAGGCATGAAGTGCTTCCACAGCCAAGGAGAATGACATGAACAATAGAAACAGCTGCCTACATACGCAATACATGAAGAGCATGCCATGTTAACCCAGATAAATGCAATTGAGTGAAAGCACCCACAAGCACACAATCAGCACCAAACCAAACAATCTAAAGAAGCAGTGCACATTTCGGAGATGACAAATGAAAATGGTCATTATGTCTCTCTCCTTATGGGTGGGTAGGTGTGACAATATAAGAAATATCATAATGGTTTATTGTCTACTTGAATAAGGTTTTAGAAGTACGCAAATAGATTAGACTATGAAATTTTTTCCTAAAACAAATATACAAACACATGCATATATGTAATGTGTGTGTGTGTGTCTAAACACGGTCACCATCTTTCATGTGGCACAATTTGATTGTTTTTAAGATACTACAGAAAAATAAGATCAGAGCTATACTTTGGAACATCAAATCTCTATAAAATCTAACAAGTCTAGCACATCTAGGAAATTAAAAACACAGTTTCCATTCTTCCAATAGTATAAATTAACACTTCCCACCATAGATTGACTTCCAGCACCCAAATACACCTCTAAACTTCTCAGACATCACACATTGAAAAACAAAAACATAAACAAGGTCCAAATCTGAAAGGTATATGACAATGCAGAAAAAGATGATCAACAGCTTCAAAGGAGTTTTCACATAGATAGAATCTGCTACAAATACTAAAGCATCTCCTTATCAATTTATCCTGAGCCAAGCATGCTTCATAAGCCACCACCCAACCAAAGTAGGTCACTTTAGCTGGTGCAAAAGCCTTCCTAATTAGCTTCCAAGGCCAATTAGTTCCCAACTCAGAAACAATTTTTATGAGTTCTCTGTAGTAAGAATTCAAAATGACCACTCCATTCTTATTAACATTATAACATAATTCATCTTCCTCTTCTGATTAATCTAAACTGAATGCATTTATTAAAAAAATAAGCCCACTTCTTGCATTTCTCAATCAAAGAAAAAATTTTCTAAGCAGGAGGCTCCAACCAGTTCGATTGAATACATCAGAAATTAGAACATGTGATAGTTACCATACTATAGAGACAAGGATCTTGCTCCTAAGAAAGTCCTAAGCCATCCCAATTCTCTTCTAACACCCTAATGTTTTGCCACATTCTAATCCCAATATTGCTATTTGTAGAACTCCCCCAAAGACTAGTTGGTCGTCTCCATACATTTACCATAAGGAGTTTCCACATACGAGAGCCCAGAACCCCTCTTCCATATTTAATCTCCATCAGTCTTGCGTGGAGCTATCTTCCTATCATTGAATCAACATAGTCATTTGCATAACAGATTTTGGTTGTAGACATTTATATTTACTTACTCCTAAACCTACTTCCTCCTTATGCCTTATCATTGTACTACTCCAATCTGACCAAATAAAACCTCTTCTTATCTGCATTTCCTTCCACAAGAACTGCCTTTTAATATTATCAATTTTCTTCTCTACACTGAAAGAAAAGCATATTATTTTTTATTTTTTTTGATGAAGTAATTAGTTCTATTGCAGACATCAAGTAGATGCATAATAGTTAAAAAAGCTTAGTAGCAAAAGGTCAGCTCTCCTTTACATTGTTAATTGAGAATCAGGGAGCATGACATGGTTCAGAAATGAATCAGGGCAATCTAGAGGGGATAAATAAACCCAACTGTACAAAAACATGAGGCAGTTAGCTTTTAAAGATGTAGGTAGTTGATATTCCATCAAAGCATCTTCTATTCCTTTCGTTCCAGATACTCCAAAAAATGGCTGCAGGTATCATCTTCCAGATTCTCTTGACGGTGCTATCAACTTTCCAGCAACCCCAGCTTATCATAAAATCCCTGATATTCTGAGGCATGACCCATTTGATGCGAAAAAGAGCTAAAAACATACTCCACAAGTTTGCTGCTATTTGACATTGAATAGGTGGTTGTGTGTTTCTGCTTCCTTCATGCACATATAACATCTGGTAGCCATCTGAAACTTCCCTCTACTCAAGTTGTCTTGGGTCAAGGAAGCTCCATGGAGTGCAGTCCAACTGAAGCAACTAATCTTAGGAGGCAATTTGATCTTCCATATAAGTTTCCAAGGTCAGTGGTCTGATTGCATTTCGTGGGCCTAGAAGCTTGAAAGTTGCTTTAACTGAGAACTTCCCACCCCTTTTTTCTCCCTAGTTGAGGTGTTTCACTGTTAATTGCAACACTGTGAAGTGCTGCTAATAGGCTGACCAACTCTTCCATTTCCCTGTTCCTTCTGAGGATGATGTTCAAAGAATTCCCTTCTCTGTATTGCTGAATAGTAGAGTTAAGCTCCCTTGCTATCTGGAACATGTTAGGATAAGCAACCATTAAGGAGGAGTTGCCTATCCATTTGTCTCTCCAAAAATTGATATGTTGTCCATTCCCTGCAATTAAGTGTTTGTGTTGAGAGAACTCCCATAATTTGCTTATACTACTCCAAACACCAACTCCATATGGCGCTGTTGAAACATTAGAACACCAGTGGTTTAGTGCTCCATGTTTAGCAATAATCACATCCTTCCAAAGGCTATGCTCCTCCTGAGTGTATCTCCACAACCACTTCATAAGTAGGCATTTGTTGTGAGTGCTAAGTCTCTAATGCCCAAACCGCCTAACGTTTTTGGTAACAAGACTATTGGCCACTTGACCAAATGGAATTTATGGCTTTTGTTATTCCCTTCCATAGAAAATTCCTTCTGGTTTTGTCCAGTTGCTTCAAAGCCTTACTAGATATGGGATGTAGTGACATACTATATGTTGGGATACTATCAAGTACACTGTTTATCAATGTAAGTCTGCCACCCATAGAGGGGTAGCAAGCCTTTTTTCAAACTTTTCAATCATTCCACTCCAGATGCCTTCCGCCTTGTATTTAGCCCCCAATGGAAGGCCTACGTAAGTGGTTAGGAAAATTCCAATTCTACAACCCAATATGTCTCCTCAAAGTCCGCACCTCATTAACAGGATAGATCACACTCTTGAGCATGTTCATATGGAGACCTGAAACAACTACAAATATGAGTAGCGTAATGTTTAGGTATAGGATCTGCTCTCTGTCAGCCCCACAAAAGTTCAATGTATCATCAGCCTAAAGCAAATGTGAGATGTTAACTACTCTATCCCTTCCTATATCAAAATCTTTGAGCCAGCAGTTGTTTGGCTTTGTTCAACATCCTACTCAACCCTTCCACAACTAGGATGAACAAAAAAGGTGAAAGAGGATCACCTTGCCTTAGGCCTCTCTGTGCAGAGAAAAAGCCTACTGGGCTTCTGTTGATTAGAATTGAATACTTCACTGTGGAAATGTTGAACTTAATCCATTTAATCCACCTATCACCAAACCCTATCTGCCTGAGAATAGATATGAGATAAGACCAATTCAAATGGTCAAAGGCTTTCTCAACATCTAATTTGCAAAGTAGTCCAGCATTCCCCTGTTTCAATTGCCAATCAAGCACCTCATTTGCTATGAGTGAGTCATCAATGATTTGCCTCCCTTTGATGAAGGCATTTTGTTGGTTTGAGACTAGTTTCCCCATGATTGTCTTCAATCTATTTGCGAGGACTTTTGCAATGATCTTGTATATGCTTCCAATTAGACTGATAGGTCTATAATCCCTTAGTTCGCTTGCCCCCCCCCCCCCCCCCTTTTTTTAGGAATAAGTGATATGAATGAAGCATTTCAAGACTTAATATCCAGCAATGTTGATGGTAGTGTTGCATAGCTGCTAATATATCTGTCTTGATAAACTCCCAAGAGCTCTGGAAGAAAGCCATAGTAAAACCATCAGGCACGGGGGCTTTATCAAAGGCACTTGATTTAATGGTTGCTAGTACTTCCTCCTCTCCGAAAGCTGCTTCTAAGTTACTGCTTTCCTCCACTGTGATGGAGGCAATTCCTTCTAATATGATTGTAGGCCTTCACTCTTCTTGTTCAGTGTACACTCCTTCAAAGAACTCTAGTGTCTCCTTTTTAATTGTCTCCTTATCTTCAATGACCACATAGTCTACCAGAAGTTTGTCTATGCAATTCGATCTTCTATTAGAATTAGCAATCTTCTGAAAGTATTTGGTGTTCCTATCCCCTTCCTTGAGCCAGAGGCACCTGGATTTTTGCCTCCATGAGGTCTCCTCTATCTTGGCTAACTGTTGTATCTCAGCTAGCAGGCTTGTCATTTGACTAGCCTCTACAGTGCTCAATTGTTTGCCTTCAGTGTTTTGTTCCAAGATCATACATATCAGGGGGCATGATTTCTTTATATATATATTAGTTTTGTTATGTTCTTTTTTATTTAGTTATTTTACTTATCGGTGCAAGGTTTATTTTGATACTTTTCAACAATACTGCTTCACTTCTTGTTGTTTTTCTGTGCTTCTTGCTCTCAAGAAAAATGGGTGTAACTCAATAGTTACAAACAATATGCATGCCATCTCCATGATTTTATCTATATCTATATCTATCTATCTAGAATATCCCCAACTTAAAACACCTAATGTTGTATATTTTTTTATATTATATTATATTTATTTATTTATATTTTATTACATTATATAAAAATTAGGCACTTTAGCACATTAAAGGGTTGTGACTTTTCAAAAGAGTTGCTACTTTTACGAAGAGTTGTGACCTATCCAAGGATATGTGACTTTTCTGATACGGCATAATAAGCACATGTTCACACTACCCTTTGTTGGCTATAAATAGAGGGGTTCCTCACATTTTTGAACTACAATTTTTTTCTAAATTTTCTGTTCTTAAAAAACCCAATTTAATACATCTTTTCTATTTCAAATTCACATTATATTTATTTATGTATTTATATTATATTATATATAAAACATACACCTTTTTACATTGAAGGGTTGTGACTTTTCCAAAGGGTTAGTGATTTTTAAAAGAGTTGTGACTTTTCTAATAAGGCATAATAAGCACATGTTCATTCCATCTTTTGTTGGCTATAAATAGAAGGATTCCCTCACATTTTTAAACTACAAATTTTCTATTTTTTCTAATCTTCTTCTTAAAACACCCAATTTAGTACATATACTATATTTCATTTTGTACTTATTTATTTATATCAATATAATATTATATTAAAAACAGACACCTTTTTACATTGAAGGGTTGTGAATTTTTTTATTATATTTCTAATGAATTGTGACATTTCCGAAAGATTATGACTTTTTTGAAGAGTTATGACTCATCTGATAAGGTGCAATAAGCACGTGTTCATACTACCTTTGTTGGCTATAAATGAAAGGGTTTCCTCACATTTTAAAACAACAAATTTTCTAATTTTCTGTTCTTCTCTTCTTAAAAATTCAAGTGTGATTTGCAGTTGTTGAGTGAGTTTGAAGTTCAATGGAAGTTGAACATCCCTAATTTGAATGTTAAATTACTATACCCACAACTAAAAAAACTCAATTTAGTAAATCTGTTATATTTTATATTTATATCACATCATAAGTAGGAATTCCAACAATAACTAAGCAATGAATTATGGAAGGTATATTTAAAAGGTGCAGAAATTTTACGAGTGACTTTATTTATTTTTACACATCACAATTAATTTTGGAAAAAGAAAAAAGTTTTCTTTTAAAAAAAAAAAGATAAATGTAATTGGAGGTCATACAGAGGTGTCATGTCACCTTATCTAAATCTAAGTTTTATATTATAAAAAATAGATATAGATATTTTGGGATATTGATTTCACCACTTTCAGCGTGCACACACTTAGTAATCATTGCTTACATTCATTATTCATGGAAACGTATACTTGATTATTTCATTTATAATCTTTTACTTAATGTTGGTTAATAATATTGACATTATTTTTAAAAATAGAGTACTACGTGGTTTGACATTCACTAGCAATGCATGTGCATCAAAACTAGTTACCTTAAAAGCACAAAGGTCCTTAGAGATGTTGATTGAACTTTTTGCCCTTCATTAAAAGTCTATACAATAGACATACTTGTCATTTACTATTTTCCTCAAATTATTATCTATATCTATAAAATTTAATTCAAACTCTTGACCTAATAAATTTTAGTAACTAATGCTTTCGTTATTTGACAGATCATAAAATTAAGGATTTCAATCAATTTAGAAATTTGTAGAAATGCTTTCCTTGCTTGAATTAAATATCACGACTTAAATACCTATGTCGTCTTCTTCTTCACTCATGTTATTTCATTGCTTCTTTTCTATTCTTTTTTATTTTTTTATTTGAATCAACAAGTTTAATAGATAAGCTCTCACAATTTGATGCTTTTCTCCTAACTAAAATACCTCACATACTACTTAATTTTTTTCAACTAGAAATAAATTTTATTTGATATTTACTTTATGTAAAATAAATTATTATCATTTTTCTTTAATTCTAATATGTTTGCTTTCAATTTTACATATACATATACTTTCGGAAGCTGACCACTTCATTTATGTATTAATTAAAGCATTGTAGATGACAAAAATGCATGCAAAATTAATTAAATGAAAAGAGTACATTAGTAAAGGCAACTTGTAGACAATAATAAAACTGTAATAATGATAATGTAATCAAAATGACAGAAGAGAACATAAACCAACACTATTATTTGTAAGAAGCTGCCAGTGAGATACAAATACTAAAAGAATTCATCACAATTGCATCTTCAGAAGTTATGTAATAATATTTATTCCATCATTTAGACGAATATAACATCAATTTTAATGTTAGTTATTATTTTCAAGAATTTTTATACATTCATTGCTTGACGTGGATAGTATGTGACTTTGTTGCTCGGAGTCTTTCAAATAGTCGACGGGTGCCTGTCAAATCTTCAAAAAGTACTGTATTTTTAAAGGATTTGATAGGGGTGCAGCATCACTTTTGGAGAGTCCGAGCAACTTAGGTATGTGATACACATGTTCTACACGCGTACACAGAACTAGTAATATAAAATCTCTCTCAATAATAGCTCCTTTATGTCCTTCAATGTAGAGAGCTAAGCAATACGAGAGCTACAATTTATGTGATTCTAAAAATATCTACTGCAGCTATCATATAAAGGTGCCGAAAGACACTTTTCATGGAAGAAGTGGAAGTACAATGTATAAGGAAAAAAAGTTGAGATTGTTCCATGTACTTACAGCATTGGTGAATGCAGACAAAACCTCTAACCTTCTATACCTGAGAACAATAGCAACAACAACATAATTAAACTTAGTAAAACTAAATGTTCAACTGAACATACTAGTTATGAGGGGTTGGAAAATTAGACTAATTGTGAACAATTTTCTTAATTGTGGAAGTTGGACAAACTACAGAAATATACTTAATTGGCTTAACCTATAAATTTTGATTGTGTTTCAAATTTTTCCAGAAGCTATTGAATTCACAAACTGATAAAAACAAGAGGTACTTTTTGCCCTTCCTATTTTACTTTTTCTTTTGTATGATTCTTTAATGACTAAACCTAAATTGCTTTTCCCTTGATAACCACCGAAACTCCTTTAACAAATTTTTCGTTAAAATACTTCCCCATCACATAAGAAATGTATGTATCTGCCCATTTGACAAATGCACTGACAAGTCACAAACTTCAATCACGAACAAGAAAAAAGAGTAATAAACAGGTAAGGAGAAAATGTTTAACCAAAAAAAACAAAGAATTTCCTAGGAGATTAGAGTTTAAACCTCACCCATAAGTGTAAACACGATCAGGCTTTTCTCTAGAAGCATCCATTGCAAATAAGGAAAATGTCAAAAGGCCACAACCAAAGGTCAAATGAAATGCGTCTGATACCAACCCTGATATTAATCAAGAGTCAAATTAAATTTCATAAGAGAAAACAAACAAGAAGTGAATAAGCAGAAAAAAAAAGAAATACAGATTGATAGAATTAGGATAATCAGGTGTCATTCGATGTTCTTAGGATAAGTGGGAAAAAGTAATTTAATTTGGTGAAGCAATTTGATATGCAACAATTTGATTTCACATTGCATGTCCAAACGGGCCCTTAGAATAACTCAATTTAGCACTCACTTGAAGACTCATAAAATCAGAAGTAGCTTTAGACAATAATCCAAACATCTTTTGCCAGAACAATCAATTCCATGAGCTTATCCTACTATGAGATAGCAACATATGAGCGGTTAATAGTGGAACAAGAGGTTGATTGTGTTCTATGTCAACTTTAGTAATATGAAACTTTCCGGATGGTTGACAAATAACAACAATGTTAGCATGATATCCAATTCTATTTTCTATCTGTGCATCGTCTCCACGAAAACATTCTTCGAAACATAACTTCTTTTTTACGTCACATAAATCAATTTTCTTTTCATATTTATGTACTCTTTAGAAGTACTGAGTACTAAAACCATTTCCTCTTGCATAATCATTATAAAAGTTAACTCTATCCTCATCATTGCCTAATTCAAGTCCAAGATTAGGCTCAAAATCAATATGCTCTTTTCAAAGAAAAAGAATCAATATGCTCTTAGACTTATTTTGTAGAACTTTTCTTTGGGTGCAGTATCATACATGCTTATCAAAGTTATATATTAAACATCAAAGAAACACAGATTGATACTTTGTACTGTATAGTACCAAAAGAATAAGAACTGTTTTGGGTGCAGTATCATACATGCTTCTCAAGGCTATCCATTAATCATCAAAAAAAGCATCAAAGAAACACAGATTAATACTTTGTACTGTATAGTACCAAAATAAAAATATAAAAAAAAATACATATTGAACAATCAAACTAAGTTCAAAAACAAAAAATAATTATTACTCACTTAATGAATACACACATTCACCCTATGTCCAAAAACAAGCTTAGAAATAAATCATGACTTCATATCACATGTCCAAACGCAAGCTAAGAAATATTAAAAGAATTATCATTGCACTGAACAACAAAAAGCTATGAAGAAAGAAGGAGAAGCAGTGTAGGTTCTCTACTTTTTGGTCAACTATTCGAATACAGGTTTGTCCATCATTAATAAGATTATTTACCTTGTCTAAGAAAAAAATGAAACAGAGAGAAGCAGATAATATATTTCCACAATTTAATTCGGATAAGGAGCATACAAGGACATAATGACAAAGAAAATGTGCGATGCCACATGCCAAAATCATGGAAAAAGAAGATGGGTTATGTCATACAAAAAGAAGATGAAAAGTCCCCTTGACTGAACATAAAGCACAAGAAAGCTCAAGAACAAAATTTGAACTCAACTAACCAAATTGGTTCAACAAGCTTATTATAGCACTACTGATAATGCAAATCATTTCAATCAGGTATATCTCATTTGATTTTTCAATTCAATTGTACAATAACATATAAACAATTATTTAGTTATTTAACAAATTATTTGCTTAATTTACTTTTTTGATTGTTTTATTTCGCTTGTTTGTTTATTCATTTGTTGCAAGGTTTCAGCATGTCAAAGAAACATTATTGACCATTCTGATTAAAGTGCCCCCCCCCCCCCAAATCATAGAGGTATCTTCTCTTTTGATGGCTTATTTAGCCTTACCCAAATGTTGACGGTAATACTAAGGCATTCATTTGATAGGTACTCTGCCATCAGTATACTTGGGCATGCCTTTGGGGGCAAAGTCTGGAGCCATATACATTTGGAACCCAATAGTGGAGAAATGTGAAAAGAAACTAGTCAGATGGAGATCACAATACCTCTCCTTGGGAGGTAGATTAACACTGATAAACTCTGTTCTGGATGCTCTACCTACATTATGCTATCTATCTTCCATATTCCCCAGTCAGTTGTTCAGAGGTTGGACAAAATTAGAAGAAACTTCTTGTGGTAAGGAAATAAGGAAAGAAAAGGTTTTCACTTAGTCAAGTGGAAGAACATCATCATAAGTAAGATGCAAGGTGGATTAGGTATCAAGAATCTCAAAAACCATAGCAAAGCTCTTAAGGTGAAATGGTTATGGAGGTATCATCAGGAGGACCAAGCACTATGGTATAGGGTGATCAACCACAAGTATGAGGAGCTAAATAAATGGGTAACCAAAGAGGTAAATACCCACTATGGGATTAGTCTTTGAAAATCCATCCGAATATTTTGGCCCTTTCTCAGTAACCAGTCAACTGTCAAGGTACAAAATGGCAGAAAAAACAGTTTCTGGTTGGATAAATGGTTGGGTGGTATGAGCCTCAAAGATCGTTACCCTGACATCTTTACACTGGCTCAACACCAACAGAAAATTGTCGCTGAAATGTGGACACAAGGCTGGGATCTGATTTTCAGAAGAAATTTGAATGACTGGGAAATTCCCAGAATACTTGAATTGCTTAAGGTTCTGGAGAGTTTTCAAGGTACACAAACAGGCGAGGATTATTTATGGTGGCAGGGGCACAACAAAGGTAGTTACAAGGTGAAAGAAGGATACAAACAGATAATTACTAGTTGCATCAAGACTTCAAATGGCCTTGGAAGCAAATTTGGAGGATCAAAGTGTCACACAAAGTGGCATGCTTTACATGACTACTAGCCAAGGAGGCAATCTTGACATTGGATAATGTGACCAAGAGAGGAATCTCTCTATGTAATAGATGTTCCTTGTGTGGGAAGGCTAATGAGACAGTGAGACATCTCTTCTTACATTGCAACTTTGCTGGGCAACTGTGGCAGATTCCTTAATCTCAAAGGCATATCTTGGCGTATACCTAGCAAGATTGATGAAACTCTATTCGGTTGGGAGATGGCTGGAGTTGGGGCTACAAAAAGAGAAAGATGGCAGATGACCCCTGCTAGTATTTGGTGGACTATATGGAGGGAGAGAAACGAGAGATGTTTTGAGAATAAGAACAACAACCTGCAGGAAGTTAAGCTTAAGTGTATTTTATTGTTCTGCTTTTGGTGTACAAATGTCCACTCCAATGAAACTGAGTCAATCATAAATGTTTTAATATCCATTTAAATTTGGTTCAGTTGGATAGATTATACTTACTTTCTGCTTTTGTAAATGTGGTTTTTCAATACTACCTAAGTACTCTATGAAATACAAATGTTACAGTTTCAAAAAAAATTAAGGCATTCATTCATAAAGAAAATTGTTGACAAGACAATTAGTCATTGACTATTATTTGCTACATTTACAGGAACCTATTGGTTTATGTGCTTTTCAACATTTACAAAAAATCTTATTCTCTTACTCATGCCCAGGTTAATATTAAGTGAAATTTCATTACTAATTTTTACAAGGAGCTTCATTTTATCATTATTGTAGACAGTATCAGTTCAAGGGGTCAAGAACTGCTTTTTCTTCAAGATAATAATGTGTTTTGATCTATTCCAAAAGTTAACTTGTCGAACTTTTTTGTCTTTATGCTTGATATTTTGGTATATGATCTTACGAATATTATGGTATATACTTTACTCCTGTCACCAGCCATAACTATTTCTTTAAGTAGGACAAAACAAACATGCACATAGTCCGCTGATTCTCTATTTTATTAATTCAGACTATTACTTAAATTCTCCATAACTCAACTTCAATATAAATACTATTTACATTTCAAACACTGCTCTCGTCATTGCTAGATATATATATATACTGCTTAGTTGTTATTGCTCAAAGATATATATTGTTGCATCACGTAAACACTATCCTGTTGCTGTGGCATGCTACGTTAATGGGCTTAAAGCACATCTCAGTTATCTAAGGCTGTTGATGATCACTGGAGCAAAAAGCAAAGTCCCTGGTAAAGGAACTTCTTTTCTACCCTATTACTATCTCTTTCCTTTGATCAAATTAAGTTTTGGAGTAAGACAAAAAAACACATTGTTCAACATATACAAAAAAAAAAAAAAAAAAACAGATTTCAACACATTCAGAGAATCAGCTAGGATACTAAACAAGAAACTAAAGGTTCCATACCTACTCGGCCAGATAAAAGGCCAATACACAACTCGGCGGTAGAATAAGCTACATTTAGTGAAATCAACATAAACAATCTCCTCATCTGCTTATTCCCAGACATAACACCTCGGAAAACCGATGACAGAGACGAGGAATCCCTAAATTTAATATCGGAACCATGGGATGCATAGATATTAGGAGGAATATTAATGCTGGAAACAGTTCGAGAGAGCAAAGGTTTTTTAGAGTCATTGGAGATTATTGATATAGGCGTATGTGACTCGGCCGATTGGTGAAAGGAACTTTGCCGTGAAAATGCAAATCTACGATCGCTGCCGTCGAAATCAAAATCGCCACTCCACGGATTAGGAGAGTCGGGTTCCAATTTCCGGTGATGGAACGACTGCGTATTCATGTCCTTCCTCTTCTATTGCAAAAAAAGGCAATCCATTTTCATTATTCCAAAAGATAATATAGGGTTTTATTATGATGGCACAGATGATGAAGATGGTCAATACACATTTTAAAAGAAATATATATATATCAAGAATATTTATGACAAAATTAGTCAAATGACATTTAATTTAACTACACATTTTAATTTCAAGAATATATATTTCTATCATGATCAAACTACAGAAATCACATATTTTTAAGGTAAAATTACTATTTATTTCTTAAAAGTTTATAATTACAAAAATTTGTCAAACGGATATAATAATATAAGCGTTGATACATTAAAAATAGGATCTGATACATTAATAGCGAAAAATCAAAACGCTAATACATTAAAAAGAAGGTCGGATACATTACTGGAGGGTTCGGATACATTTATGGCCAAAAAAATCCAAACGTTAATACATTAAAAAGAGGATGGATACATTAGTGGAGGATCGGATACATTAATTTCATTTTTTACTTATATTTTAGAAATTTATAAAATTTATAGGACATAATGATGATAAATAAATTAAACGATGAGATTTTTGTAATTATTCAAAGTTATATATACCTCTTAATTGACATAGTTCTTTTAACATTAAAGTGAATTTTTTTTATGAACCTATTAAGCATAATGACTTCCAAATTTATGTCATAAAAAATAACAAAAGTTTTCTTGTTTCATGAAAAGAATATTATGCAATTGAATTTTAAGAAAATTGCATTCTGTATTTACTTAAATTGGATATATTTATAATCAAAAATATCTTTGAGAAAAATGAATCTCTAAGGAAAGGTGAAAAGTTAGTTCTGTCTTGTACGATGTATGCTCTTTAACTGATTCATACGGGAAGAATGGATGGCTTAGAAGTATCACTTCTTATCTTTATATAATTTTTTAATTGATATTATTTGTGCTTCTCTTACCCGTATTAATTAATTTATCTACATTTAATTAGTTAATGAGCTATTGAATTCTATAGTTTATTTGTATTTGTATTAGCTAAGAGATTGGCTATTGAAAGAAATAAGTTACAACTTATATAAAAGATGAAATGTGAAAATAACTTTTAAAAGAAATTGGCGAGCATGGCATGCCATTTGAGAAGAAAGGGGTTATAATGTATCAAATGTAGTATTAAAAGTTAAAAGGTTTAATGGATGTAAATAAGATGTAAGTGATAATTGTTTGAGTAACCATGAGTGTTTATACTTAAAAATGAAAGCAAATGTCTCATCATAAATAAATAAATAATTTAAGAAGAAAAAAGACGTACAAAAATAATGAAAAATTATGTTCTTCCGATGAGAACTTGATCATGCCATCTCGCAAAGATTTGCATTTGTCTTGATTTTCAGATTTTAAAGTTAGAAAAAAGGTCCAAAAAATTGAAAAAAGAAATAAAAGATAAATAAGGTTTTGAGTCTAAGGTCTTATTTGTTTGCACTTAATGGAGGTTTAACTCTTAATAGTTTGGATATTAGGCATTAAGTGTCCGTTTGGATTGACTTAAAAAATGTAGCTTTTAAAAAGTAACTTCTAAAATGCTAAAACACATTTTTAAAATAAGTAGTTATGTGTTTGGATTTAAGGGTTACAGTTTAAAAAAAGTTGTTGATGTGTTCGACAAATAAATGTTGGTAAACATTTTTTTTATCATAATATCTGAAATACTTATAAAGTTGTAACATGATAAAAATTTATTTAATTTAAGGTTTTTATACTTAAAAAAACTAAAACAAAATTAATTTATATTTTACATCCATAAGTTATAGTATTTCCGATCATTCACATATTTCTTTATCATCACAAATTATTTATAAGAGGAATATAAATTTATTATTCAAGTTCATTTTATCTACAAAACTAATAATAATAATAATAATAATGATGATAATAATAATGATAATAATGATAATAAAAAATAAAAATAAAAATAACAATAAAAAAATAAAAAAATAAAAAATAATAATGACAATAAAAGAATTAAGGGCAAAAAAGTAATATACTTGGTCAACATACAATGACTTTTAAGTTGGAAAAAAAAAAGCACCCCTCACTTGAGCATGTTTGGTTCAGCTTAAAAGCTGGTTTTTGACTTATTTAGTTGTTTGGCAATACTCAAAATAACTTATTTTAAGTTTAAAAAAAATTATTTTAAGCCAAAAGTTAAAAGTTGGGGTAGGGGTGCTTATTTTTTTTTAGCTTATAAGCTGTTTTATGTTGACCACATTTTTACCTTTTTGCTCTTAATATTTTTATACAATCTCCAAATTACTCACAGAACCCTAACATCTCTTTCTTCCATTTTTCCCTTTTCACGTTTGGTATAGCTGCTGAACTTCTTCCTGTTCTTCCAATTTGAAGTGAAGATAAACCTTGAAGTATGTTTTTTCGATTAATTTTTTATTAGCTTTCTTCCTTTTCTCTCGATTGATGCCGATAATATGTTGAAAAATCGAAATCAGCTCAAAAAATTCTCGATCTATGCTGATAATGTTTTTTGATTTGCTTAATTTACTCACTTTTGGCGTGTGGTTTGTCATACATATGATTTCTGAGATATTCTATTTCGTAACTGATTTATTTTTGAGATATTCTGTTTTGTGTTTTTGTTATCATTTTTTTTCCTGTGTAATTGATTTTTAACTAATTGTTAGCTAAAATCATAAGTTTGAATGCTCTTTTTTCTTAAGTTATTAGCTTAAGAAGGAAAATGCAGTAAATCTAGTTTAATGTTATACTAATGAGTAGATTTTAGTTCACAACCCATAGGGAAGATGATATTGTACTCCTTATCTACCACATAAGCTAGTTTTATGGAAACAAAACTGAAATTCGGATTGAGAGTTGTATAATAACAAGACATTGTTTGAGAGTAGTATAATAAACTCATGCTTCAATATATCATCTTGGCCACATTTGGATTTGCCTTTTCCTCCTATTCTTGGAAATCATAAATGCATGTTTGTACATTTGTTAATACAGAACTTGTGTAGGATCATAAATGCATGCTTGTATAAAACTCATGCAGGTTTTGCTATCCATTTTTTTTTGTGTAGGGAATATGTATATATATGTTGATTGTGTGTACTATATATTTTTTAGCCATATAAAATTATGGGAAGTAGTTATTTTAAATTTTCTTATCAATTTCATCTTCAAATCAATTACACCATATCTGAAACACAAACTAATGCTAAGTGGCTCATCTCAAATTTATAGAGTTATGTGAATTAGAGATTAGGAAAGGAAATAAACCAAACACTCATTTATCTAAAGATGGATGGAAAAATACGATTAAAGTATTCTATGAAAAAAAGAAAAGACGTTATACAAAAATACAAATGAAAAATCATTGGGATGACATGAAAGCTGAGTGGACTCTTTTTAAGCAATTGATGAGAGGAGATACAGGTATAAGATGGGATGCTACTAAAAATACAATTATGTTAATAAAGAAGTATGTGGATGATAGACAATTACTATTACTAATGAATGAAAATAAAATAAATCTTAAATCTTTCAAGTGATCTATTCAAATTATATATTATTAAAATGTAAAATAAGTTGCACATATAACTTAAATAAAAATTTATATTCCTCTGTGATAGTAAAGAAATATGTGAATGATAGACAATTATTATTATCTATGGATGAAACTGAAATAAATCTTAAATCGTTCTTTGATCTATTCAAATTATATATCTTTAAAATCTATAATAAGTTTATATTCCTCTTATATATAATTTGTGATGAGAAAGAAATATGTGAATGATAGCAAAATATAATTATTTATGGTTGTAAAATATAAATTAATTAACTTTTATTATGTTAACAACTTTTAAGGGTATTTCAGACATTTTGATTTAAAAAGCTGTTTATCAACACTTATTTGCCAAACACATCAACAACTTTTTTTTAACGTCAGCACTTTTATCCAAACGCATAAGTGCTTATTTTAAAAATAAGTTTCAGCACTTTCAAAAGTATTTTTTAAAGCTGCTTTTATCAAGACCATCCAAACGGGCCCTTAACTTTTAGCTTATGACTTAAAATAAGTCATTTTTGACTTAAAATAAGTTACTTTGAAAATTGTTCAACACTCTAATAAATCAAAAACTAACTTTTAAGTTTGTTTGACCAGCTTAAAAGCTCATCCAAACAGGCTCTAAGTGTTGATTCTTCTACTTAAACAAAATGTCTAAATGGAAAGGCTATGAATGAATCGATACGTGACAGTTTCATAGGCTTTATTTGTATCTGAATATTAAGATATGCATTAAGATTAAGATATCATAATCTAAATGCACATTTGAATATTAAGATGGAGTGGGTTTAAACACTAAATTATTAAGATTGTCTATTTTCAATATCTAAATGTGCATAGTTTTCTGTAAAATAAGGAATTAAACACTATATCAATAAAAGTTATAATTCAAACCAAGATAACTTCTTCCAAAAAATTGTTTCAGTTAATGATTATAACCCACCCCAGAAAAAAATGATTTATTTGTCAAACAATTTTTTCTCAAGAAACAATGATAACTTCTTCTAAATAAGTTTTGAGAACAAACAAATTGTGATAAGAAGAGTTCTTCATAAATATCAATTCATCCAAGAATATTGTATATATTAAAAATATTAGACAAATACTTGTAAGAGATTATGAAAACTTACTTACTAAAAAAAAATATTTTATTGATAAAGGAGAGGAACAAACTTGAAACTTGCTTAGAAGAGAAGTAAGGAAGAGGAGAATTTGTTTATGAAAGAATGTTTATTATTTTAATAGAGTCTGAATGGTATTAAGACTTTGTTATAAATCTGATTTATTCAAACTCGTTAAGACACATTAAGAGGTTTTTATAAAAAGAAGCAAATGGACTTAATCAATAGGATATGAACGATTAAGATTCACACCTCCATTAAATGCAAAACAAATGAGGCCTCATTAAAACTCTTTTAAAGACACTTTTGTTATCGAAAAAAAATTGTCCTTCATATTTTTTTCTAAAAAAAGTTTCAATTCCCTATCCTTCTACAACTTTACTAGTTATCCA